ATCTCTGAACAGCATCCTCAGTCTTGGGCCAAGTATTGATCTGTACATGTGAATACATGAGAGGAAGCTACCTGAATTAGGCGAAATATACTGTACTGCAACAACTAAGCAGAAATTCCTAGAACTTACACAGAGGTGGAGATGGTTTTTATTTCCACCAGCTCACATGAAAAATGTCATAATTTTCAAGGTATACTGAGGAGAGTCCTCAAAAGGGTACTAATGACTTATTGGTAAGGCTAAATCTTTTACTAAAATAAAGGTAGCTCTAGCTAAACCAGGCCTTTCAAAGTATCAAATTGATTCCAAGTTAATCATGCACCAGGAAAACAAAAAAAATCAACACTATTTCATAAAACAAACCCAGAAACAAACAACATAAAATTTACTATATCCAGCTATAATTAAAAAAAAAAAAAAACTTATAGGAAGGTAAAAAAATTGGACAATATGACTTATAAGAGAAAAAAATCAACCAATAGAAGATAGAACAAAAAAAACAGAGATGATGGAAAAAAAAAAAAGTTTTTTAAACACTACCAAAAAAAAGTTCTAGATGTTTAAGGTGGCACCAAAAAGAAAAAAAAAAAAAAATCATAAGAGAAAAAAATGGAAGCTGTAAGAAGACCAAATGCTAGAACTGCTAGAGATGAGAAATATAGTATCTGAAAAGGCTGGAATTAATACAACAGATCCTCCAAAACAAAGAAGATTAATACTGGAAAGACCATAATAAAAAACTATTGAAAACGAAACAGCACAGAAAAAAATGATCACAGTATCAGTAGGCTTGTAGGACAATATCAAGCAATGTAACAAATATTTACATTCCAAGGACAACAAAGGAGAACAGAAAAGATATCTAAAGATATAACAGCTGAAATACTTTCCAACTTAATACCAACTATAAAACCCCAAATCCAAAAAAACTCAACAAACTCCAAGAATAGCACAAGGAAAATCAAGTTAGGAACCACATGCAACTTGTTGAAAAGTGGTAAAAGCCAATAAATGCAGTTGGAAAACAAAACAAAAAAGACATTATGTTTCAAGAACTAAAAAATGACACCAGACATCATCAGAAAGAAATGAGAAAATACAGACAGCAATCAGGTAAGATCACTGAAAGAACAGTTATCAACCTAAATTTTTAAAATCCAGAAGTACCATACTAAATTGAAGGCAAAAATAAAAGGTTAGAGAAATCATCTTAAGTAAATCTGTTCTGTAAGAAATGTTAAAAGATTTTAAGCAAAAAGAAAATACCAAACAGAAATCCAGGTCTACACAAGAATGAAGAGCTCAGAAATGGTACCTATGTGAGGTAACTATACATACTTGCCTATTTAAAACTAAAATGATAATAACATATGATTAGATTTACAGGATAAGTAAAATGCATGGTTATAAGAGTATTAAGTATGCAATGGCAAAATAAAGGATACTGTTAAAGGTTGTCATATTATACATGTACAGTGGTGTAACGTTTAAAATATAGGTTAACATGCTCACTACTGGGCTGTAATTTCTAATGGCCTAAACAATCGGTGGTACAGGCATGAGTGTCCCACTGGGTAGCTTGTACCGCTTCTCCAGGGGCACTGATTTAGCAGACTAAATGTCACTATATTACAGTTCCTTAGGGAAAACATTAAAATGGTATTAAAAATTATACTGTATAGCTGATTTGTGGTACATCAGTTGTAAATGCACATTACATAGAACAGCAATGAGGCACTTGTAATATTTCCATGTTAAAATTTAGACAATTATTAATAAACTATTCCAAATACAAATTTCTTTAAAGGTCATGAAATAAATTTGATTATTGTAATGATTTTGTTAATGGATACAAAGTATTAATATTTACATTTGGGCAGTAATTATTCAAATTCAAGCAACTAACTAGATTCAGTCCATTTACAGACTTTTTATTAATTTTATTAGTAAAAAGACTAATAAAAAGGATGAGATCTGTTTAAATCACAAGCCTCCCAGTGAGAGTCATGCATGTACCACTTACTGATGGTTCAAGCTGGTGGCAACATGCTATAAGTAATAAAGGAAAAAGAAAACATCATATAGACTTTAATCAGAAGAAAGCTGGAGATGGCCAGGGATGTAGCTCAGTGGCATCACACCTGCCTGGCAAGCGCAAGGTCCTGAGTTCGTTCCCCAGTACCCCCCAAAAAAAGAAAGCAAGCTAGAATGACTATATTTTTATCTATCAAAGTACACTTCAGAATAAGGGATATACAGAGATAAAGATAGACACTGCCTTTTATAATGTAAAAGGGTCAATCCATCTGGAAGACATAATCCTAAGCATTTCCAAGCCTTATATCAAAATTGCAAAATACAAAAAAATAAAAAATAAAAAAAAGGTAGCAAGATAGCAGTGACAGAGAAAATAATTAGAATTGGGAAATTTAACATCCCTGTCAGTAACTGACAGAATGAGGAGACAGAAATCAGTAAGGATACAGAAGACTTGAACAACTCTAACAACCAACTTGACCTAATTGACATTTAGAGAACAAACACTTCACTGAATAACAGCAGAATATTCACTATTTTACATACCAAATACTGATCACAAGAGACCATAAATTAAATAGAGTGAATTACAGAAGGTATGCTCTCTTGCCATAACACAACTAAACTAGGTGTCTATAATAGAAAGATTATCTGGAAAATCCCAAACACTTGGAAAATAAGACTTCTGAAAAACCATGGATCAAAAAAGAAATAACAAAGGAAATTGGAAAATATTTCTAATTAAATGAAAATGAACATTAACATTTCAAAACGTGCGCAAGGGCCGGAGATTTAGCTCAGTGGTTCTACCACCTGCCTCGAAAGCACAAGGACCTGAGTTCGATTCCCAATACCACCCCCCCAAAAAATAGAGGCAGACTGCCAAGATATCAAAATGTGAGCGATACAGCTAAACAGTCAAAACACCGTTAAATTCATTGTTGAGCTTATGCTAACTGAATCACTCTGATAAGTAATGATTAAATATAGGTAGAGTTATTCATCATTACATTAAAGATTAAGTCACCAACATTTACAGAGTTACCATACTCCCTTAAAAGCAAAGAGCTACCAAGGAATTGAATGCCTGCACCCAAACCCCAAAGGTGTGGAGAGGAGTGATCAGGGCTCTGTGGTGAAAGGACAACAGGAGCTCAGAGGCACAGAGAAGCAGAAGCATGGGTCTGGACAAGGGTTCTAGGCAAGGCCTAGAACGGCAGACCCCATGAGCAACAGCAAATCCAATTTTACAACACAAATGATGTGAAACAAGTGGGGACTGGATTGAGAGGGTCTGGAGTGAACACAGACTGGACTTAAGAGTCAGAGGCTCTTGGTCCGAGTCCTGACCGACTGTCTGCTAACAGTGTGACCATAGTCAAACTTCTCCACTTCTCTGTGGCCTGCTTTCTTCCCCTGCAGAGTAGACAGAACTATCCCCAGCTGTTCCTGAGAGCTGTTGTAAGGGCCCTCACATCATACACAGCTCCAGCATATTGTTATTAGAAAAGCCATCAGGAAGGGCCTGACGGCTTTGGGGAGCAAGCTGGAGCTGGATAAAGGAACCTTACCGACGTAAATTATTAGAAAAGCCATCAGGAAGGGCCTGACGGCTTTGGGGAGCAAGCTGGAGCTGGATAAAGGAATGCCACCTTACCGACGTAAACGCCAGATGAGAAGTGAAAGAATATGGAGATGAGGCTAACTTAGAAGTAACAAGGGCCTCAACTGTGGTGGAGGCACTAGAAGAAGAGGCCAAAGGAGTCCTGTGAGATGTGCCCCAGCAGCTGACCCAAAATGGGCTAAAGTCAGGGAGCAGTGAAATGGAAAAGCACAGTGGATATACGGGAGAACTGCCACTCCCAAACAAGAAAGTCAGAAAACAGCTGATTCTGGTATATAGAAAATGTGGTATTTCTAAACAAACTTCTACCCATATTATAAAAAGAGGCTGACTTTTTGGGAGGTGTTTTTTTTGGGGAGGACCCTCAAATACTAAATTGTTTAATCCTAGAAACTAGTATCTATTCTAAAAGTATGCAGCACTTATCTATACACTTAGGCAAATGCCATTTAGTAAAACACTGTACCTGAATTTCATCTTATTTCTAATATTCCTTTCCAAGTGTGTTGTGATTTTAATAGAAGGTTGTAATAATAGATAAATGAAGGCACCATAGAGAACTACTACTGTGTTAGTATAGATGCATCAGTATTCACCGTGAAATAAAATCTCTGGTGCCAGACTGACAGATTCAGAAAGAATAAAAAGTTAAAAAGATCAGTATAGTGGTAGGTAAGGGAGAATAATTTCTAAGTTCTTGACTTTAAAAAAAGAAATCATTTAAAAATGCTATCAATCAAGAAAGCCTAGCCACCTGAACCCATTAAACACACACACGTACTAGAAAACATTCTAAAATAAAATCATTATGAAGGCTGCGGGTTGTCTGATGAATAAAATGGTAACTGGTGCTTTGGAACTCTGTCACAATCTAACTTTTATTTCACCTCCAAAGAACAACTATCACATTTGACTATGAGACAAACAGGAAATTAGCTTAGTTTTGATATTCATATGATTTCCAAATGTAATCATACTATCCCAAAGTAAAACCAGATTAGGTAATCAGCTCTTTGAGGGGTAAATGGTTAGTTTTACATGAAAAAGCTTTTTCAAGTTTATCTAAGAAACATTTAAAGCAGTATTTATCATTGCCCATATATAAGCTATTGCAATCACAAGAGCTAGTGAAGGTCTGCCACTATAAATGTTTGCTAACATACAAATTTTTGTCAAGAACCACTTTTTAAAAACACACATGTAGAGAAGAATACTAGCTAGCATCCTGGGAGTTAATGTTTTCAAGTTGTTTTCTGTGGCATGTAAAAACAAACTTCAAAAGGGAATAAAAAAGGGAGGAAGGAGATGGAAACATCTGGACAGGCTCCAGAGAACTCACCCGTGCAAAGTCAAATGCATATCTATATATAAGCTTAAAGTTTGTAGAATCATTTAATAATGATCTCAAGCAATCCAAAGAATTTCTGAGTTTTTCTGTTGTATCACATCTGGGAAAACAGAATAAAGGCAAATTATAACTTGAGTTTTTAAAAAATTTTAAAAGTTGTATAGTAATACAAAATATAACATCAAAGGAAAGAAAAAAAAACCATGAAGTTGGAACATATCTATCACAGCCTGCTTTTTCCCTATAATTTTAATAAATTTCAAACATACAGAAAAGTTAAACAGTGAGTAAGTGGGCATTTACCTACCCACTGGCTACTGCAACACACACCTTTATTCTACACTGTTTGAAAGCTGCAAACACAGGACACTTCACCCCTAACACTTCAACAGCCAGCACTCTTAATACTGTCAGTGTTAACCCTTGCATCTAATATTCCATTCAGATGCACATTTCCAAACTGATCTCTAATTTCCTATATTGCTTTTGTCATTTTTTAAAAAGACCAAACCAGCTTTTTTGGGCAGCACTGTCAAACTGTCAAATAATTCCCTCAAGATTGTATGTAGACTTAATACTTCTGACAAGAATACTACATGTAATGTTGTGTTCTTCTCCCAGGACACTGAGGAGGAGGCACATCATGTCATCTGTCTCCTTAATATAGACAGAAGGGATGATCAAAATATTTTTGAAAATTTATTCCAGTAAGAGCCACATTCCCACTAATTCCCTTAAAATCACTTCACACACACTTATCCCCATTATTTTTGCCACTTTTTGAAGCAGTTCGGGAAGTTCTCTTTTAAGTCTTTACGAGGTATGATTAAAACTACAATGAATAGCCAGGGATTTGGATCAGTGGTTCCACCACCTGCCTCACAAGTGCCCAAGTTCAATCCCTGGTACCAAAAACAAACAAACGAAAAATACAATGAATACTGCTGCCGAGTGCCATCCAATGGAAAAGCGAGCTCGTAAAAACATTATGGTGTTTCATCCAACTTATTCACCAGATCTGGCACCACGCAACTTCTATCCCTTCCCAGAGTCAAATGATCATAAAAGGTAAACAAACATTTTCAATAGATTCAAGACACTGGACCAGCCCCTGAGCACAGCTGAAGATATTCAGGAGAGAGGACTTCCACAAGTGCTTCAAAAAATGTAAGAGCAGTGGGATATGGACATGTGTGTTCAAAGCAAGGGGGAGTATCTGAGGGAGCAACATGTCTTTTACTTACTGGCAATGTGTCTTTTATTTACTGTAATACATTTTTAAAAATATGGGCCGGGGATTTAGCTCAGTGGTTCCGCCATCTGCCTCGCAAGTACAAAGTCCTGAGTTCGATCCCTGGTACCCCCACAATAAACATTCACCATATTTTTATCACACTTAATATCAGGCTGAATCATACGGTGATGGTGAATTCCACCAGATTCTCCATTCAAAGGTATCTTTCTTCTTGTAAAACTACTGACTAATTTGTGAGATGGTCCCAAGACTGAATGTTTTGTTCCTCAACAGCACTTTATTCCATGTGTATTATGTATTTTTTGAACTTCCTATTTTCCTAATGCCTTCACATCCCCCAAAATATTCTGTGAACAGTCTACCCAGGAGACCAGGTTCACCAGTGTGATGGATCTGGTCCCAGCCATAGGCACCCCCGTCTTGTTCTCCCATGACCCAGTGGCACTCAAATGCCATCGATGAAGTCCTCTCATTCTTTCTACTTTGTGCTGTCCTGTGTCCCCATAAAGACACTTGCCCATGGGTCCGAGCTCCTTCCAAGTGTGCCTCCCAAATGAACCCCCTGCAGAGTGCACTGCTTCCCTCCTACAGGACCTGTGAGTATAATCAACCTTTCTATCTCATGTCAAGTGCCCCGTCCACTGCAATTTCTGTAGCAGTGTTGGAATCACCCTTAAAGACCACCTATAGAAGGAGCACTATTATTAAGGAGCTCCTATACTAGCAGCCTCTGCTTGTATATAACTGCCTAAATCATTTACTACATCTGATAGTAGTAAAGACTGATTCTGTAATCCCAACACTCCTTCTACCTTACTGGTCACATATCTTATATAGCTCCACCCATCACCCTTCTTTTCTGGATTTGGAACTTCTGCTTTTAATTCAGGGTGTTATGTCTTCATTCTTTTCAATGCACAAACCATCCCAATTTGGGCAGCAGCCTTTTATAGCTGGCTCCAGTGTTCTTAGGACATGTCCCCACCAATCCCTTCCTTGCTGTCTGGCACAAGACATACCAGCTCACTTTAGTTGTTCCCTGCCCCAGAGGTCAAAGCAGCCATTTTTCCAGGAAGCTCAGATGATGATAACCTATTTTTATCAGTTAAGTAACACAGTGTTTACTTTTCATAAAGAAGGAGACTAACTGGTTATTTTTATACATTAACTGTTTACATATGTAGCACTTAACGATGAGAACCAAGAGTCACATTTTCACCAGCACATTAAAGCTTCTCAGGGCTGGAAGTGGTCACTTGTGTTTTTTCGTAGAGCTTTTATCTAATCATAAGAATAGATAATACATTTAGGAAGTTATTACCAAAATAAACGTTTCCACTACTTTTTAAACCAAAGTATGTTTTGCAATAGAATACAGTGATTTATTTTTAGCAAACTACTGGAAGCTCCTTTTTTGTACTTATGTACAAGTCCTCATGATCTACTAAGATGATTAACTATCTAAAAGCCAGAAATTAGAGTAAATATTTAATATCTATAGAACAATTCAGAATGTCATTTATTTTTTTCTGATGTTAAAAAAGATTGAAACCAGACTATTTTTAGAAGTCAAAAAAGGCTTCTTCAAGGAACTGACACGTAAGCACAGAGTTAAAAGATATGTAGGAACTAAGTATTTCTGAAGAGGTGGGAAGAGCTCTCCAGATATTAGGGACAGCACGTGCAAAGGCCTGGTGGAAGAATGGAGCATACTAAGTCCCAAAGACTAAAAGAAAACCATTGCGGCTAGAGTGGACAGAGTAGGAATTGAAGTGGTACAAGGACAGGCCGAGAGGGAGGTATGGTCAGACCACAATGGGCTTTTGTGGTCCACTATGAAGACTTTTACTAAGTCCTTCAAACAAGAGAGGTTACTTTCCACCATGGGAAAGATGAAGCTTGTACCTTAAAAAGCTTACGCTCAGTTGAGACAGATTCAGGGATAGAAAGGAGATACTGAAAGCCTAGTTAGAGACCTGATGCCAGAACCCAAGTAAGATGCAATGAAGGAAAATACACAAAAAAGTGATCACTGGCAGTAAATCTTGGAGGCACGAGAGGCAATAGGGCATATTTTGCATAGGGTGCTTGACTACAGAATTGGATGATTTTAACCGTGAATGATGATAAATTATTTGTATAATAATGGGGAAAGGTTAAAGAGGAGGAAAAGCAGCCAACTCCAAAACACGTAAAGCCCATGTCCTCACTCTCCACTGGAAAAGAAGGTCAAGGATGAAAGCCACAGGGAGCTTGCTGGATTTGGCCCAACAGCCTATCTTACTTAGTATTCTGCAATGAGAGGAAAGAGCAGCTGCCTGTTTCCACACAGGTCCAGGAGCAGGAACTTCTCATGTACCTAAGCATGACAGATGCCCAACAGCCTATCTTACTTAGTATTCTGCAATGAGAGGAAAGAGCAGCTGCCTGTTTCCACAGGTCCAGGAGCAGGAACTTCTCATGTACCTAAGCATGACAGAAACTAAAAGAACATAAAGCAGCTGGGGCCTCATGGTGGAGCCGCAAGACGAAACACAAAGTTCTGCCACAAGTCTGGGTGCCACCTTCCACCCAGGCAGGAAGAGGTCCCTATACTCAAAAGACGCTCAGTGCTCCTGTCTATACCATCCAAAAGATGAACAGGTCCTGTGTTTAAACATAAAATGCCGAGTAATAGTTCCACTGAAGGCACCCAGTAAGGACAGTTACCCGGGTCAGCACATAGAGTCAATGAAGAGTTTAATCTGCCTACAGAGCCCCTCGACTCACCCCAAGGAAGAGGCTGCTGAGTCACCTTGTCTGGAACTGTAGGCTGCCATCTAGTGGTCACTTGGCAAGGGCACCTTGAGAAGGACTAAATTCCAGCAAAGGGCTTGAGAAAATTAACAGGCTTGAGAAGCTTACAGCCAGCCTGAGACTTTCTGTAAAACTGTATGTCAACCCAAGCATGTCTGCTGTGTACCATACTGAATAATGGCCACTGGGAGTGATCGTGCCACACTTCTAGGAGCACCATTTCCAAAACCAAAATATGCATACAATGTGGGGTAGTTTCTTATTTGAGTTTGTTGCAACAGGTTCAGAAGTAACAGGAATCATCACAATGATGAAATCAGAGGGAGCTTCCCCCGCTTACCCAGGGAGGACCTCCACCCCGGCACTCAGCCTGAGGGTATTTCTCTAACTCCTCATCAGTTCTACACAGAGGAGAAAACAGCTCTAAAACTTTTTGGTTGTTTTTAGTTTAGTTTAAGCTCCTCTACTAGCTTAATTCATCAGAGATAATCTCAAACCTGCAACTTGGAACAAGGCAGTGAGAATCAATCAATCCAGTAAGAGTTGTGCCTTCTCAGGTTGACAAGGACCTGGGAGCACAGGAAAAGTGTTCCTTCCATTCCAGTCTGCTCAGACCCACCACCAGCTGTTCCAGATGTTGGGCTTTCTGGGAGGCCATGCTTTCACTTCCTCTTGAGTGCTTAGGTAGCCTACATGTCCTCATCACCTCACCATACTGGCTTGCAGATGTCATCAGATACACCCAGGAAGTAAGAGAACTAATGTAAGACATTGGTTCCAGCCAGGCATGGTGGCACATGCCTGTAATTCCAGCACTCTGGGAGGCTGAGGCAGGAAGATCAAGGTTCAAGCCCATACTGAGCACTTTAGGAAGACCCTGACTCAAAGAGCTGGAGTGCAGCTCAAGGTAAAGACCCTGGTACCAACCCCAGTACGGGTGGAAGGGGGTTCTGGGGGTATGGGACACAACACTGGTTCCAAAAGTCATGATAGCACTCCTCCACTGTACCATAACAATCTTTAGTATTAGAAGTGCATGTACATAACACATTTTAATACTTTTTACATCCCCAAGCTTTTTTAAAACGTAGCATTTTATACAAATGTACTGATGGTTTGAATCACTGGTTCATGTGCTGAAATCCTAATCCCCAAAGTGACCAAATTAAGCATTGGGGATTCTGGGGAGATGATGGGGCAGAGCCCTTGTGAATGGGAGTCATGTCCTTTAGAGGTTCAAGAGGTCTTATTTATCCCCTCCACATGTGAGGCACAGCTAGAATGAACCATTATTTTATGAACCAAAAAACAGGCTCTCTTCATAAGACTTCCCAGCCTCCAGAATTGTGAGTACTAAAATTCTATTAAAAAAAAAGCCATTCACTTTGTTGTAATAATCCAAATGAATTGAGACATATACTAATGTATATTAGTACAAGATATATATGGTACATGTGTGTAAACATATGTTTGTGTGTGTGTGTGTGTGTGTGTGTGTGTGTGTGTATGGATTTATCCCACCTTGACTCCAAAACATCTCACTGGATAGATTTAATAAAATGAAAATGAGCAAAATCAGAAAAAAATAATTTTAAATGCAAGATGCCTTAATAACATTCCTCATTACTGGGACACAATACCTGACACCCACAATCTAAAGGAAGAAAGGTGTATTTTGGCTCACAATTATAGTTCCTGGTCAGCTGGCTCCAAGGCAGTGGTGACAGTAGAGAAAGGCCTGGATGGAAGAAAGCTGCTCCAGTCATAGTAGCCAGAAAGCTGAGGGAGAAAGGAGCCAGCAAGGTAGATGCACCCTTCCAGGTTTATCCTTGTGACCCATCTCTTCTGACCAGACTCTACCTTCTAACAGCACATCAGCAAGAGCACCCCCAGAACCCAATCACCCCCCAAACACATGAGGCTTTTGGAACCATTTTAGATTTAAACCGCAACAGAAAACAAAATAAAATTCAAAAAATGGACTACTCTCCACTTCAGTGCATATAAACAACTACCCTGAGTTCTCTCTCATGTATCTGATACTCACACCTTACACTACACGATCCCTATGATAAACTATTGTTTGCTTTAAATGTGCCAATAAACTTAATGGGAAAAAAATACTCATACCTTACAAACACGGGAATTATTAGTCTTTAATTAATCTAAAGAAAGGTGACATTACTTTGTGGTCTTCTACCAGAAAACATTACATTTCTAAGTCCCTGCCCCTAATGGACTTTATTTTATTTGTGGGGTTTTTTTCCCCCAAGGCCTATAATACCGCACCTGGCATATTACTGTCATGCAAATATTTGCTGAACAAATGACTAATCTAGGGAGGCTGGAATAAGGTTCTTAAAACCTAAAGTTGGACTAAGTTTAAACTAGAAAGGACTTTAAAGGTTATTGTGAATATCTCCACCTTGTTAATAAGGAAACCAAGTCTTAGTGAGTTTCTCTTCCCTAAAAGCAGATTCTTCCATGCCTTTACAGTGGGCGGGGCTTCTCACTAACCCTGTATTACAGAGACAAGGCTGCAGCCACCTGTGAGAACCAACCTGCCACCACTTACATCACACAACCTGACAAGAATTGCTCAAAAAAGGGCCTCACTGAGTGCCTAGCGCCCTGAGAACAAAGGCAGAGACCTCTTGCAGGAAACTGTCTCTTTCATTTCCTAGGATCTGGGGCCCTCAAAATAGATGGGCAAGGCCTAGTGAGATTCTTTTGTAAAGACAAGTGTAAAAGCCCAAAACTACAAAATGGATAAACAAAATGGACCTGAAAAATGTTGATGGTGTTGTCTCTGAAGCCCTGAAAATCCTGATATGGCATCCACCCATCATCACAAGGATGCTCAAAAAAAGCAGCCATCAAATGGCTGTGGGGAAATAACGGAAAAGTCAGCAGGCTTTAAATTACAAGGCAATGTTCTCCAAATACAATTATAAAGAGATTTCAGAGAACTTAAGACTAAAATTCTACAGCATGCTCACAGGAAAGTATTTGTAAAAAGATGGTTTGGGTTCTACATAAAATCCATTTTCCATTAGATACTACTGTTAGAGGGGAAATGTGACTTAATCAGAAATCTTGGGCGTCCTTCCAATCTTTGCCACTTTCACAAGCCACTTAGTTCCTCTAAGTCTTACTTTCCTCATCTGTCTAAATTTCTAGATAAAGTCTGACTGCCCTTTTTCACCAGGTAGCATTGAGGCTTGAATGGGCAAACAATGAATGGTTTCATAAACTACTAAAGCAAACTGAAAACAAAGCAATATGAATACTAACAAAGGGACAAGGCATTAAAAGCTGACAAATTCTAAAATTATTTAAATAAAATCATAAAACCATTTCCAACTGAACTTTAATCCAGTAAAAATCAAGGTCTATTAATCCTAGTTCAAGTGAAAATAAAAAGATAAGGTATTGCAAGTATTCTAGAACTAATTACTCTGCTAAGAATTCACATTTCATCTTTAATTCTATCTAAATTGTTTAGGGATCCACCCTAACTGTGTCCTTCAAGGAATAATACAGCAGAATATTTTGTTTTCCTAAAACTCTTAGCAAAAACATACATGTGTGTATACACAAGCACAAAGTGAACACACCACTCATCTCTTTCTTAATTTTACACCATGCAAGACAAAATCTTTATTGCTTTTTTAATCAATAGAGTAATGAAGTTCTAGTTTTCCCAAGGCTAAAATCAGATGTATGAAATAGAAGACATCAAATATTTTCACTCACAAGTTAAACTTCACCCAACTTTTTCTAGCTATAAACCAGATGCTAATAATACCTTTGGTTTTTTTTAGTGGTAGTGGCAACTGAAACTTCACACTGAGATTTATTCCCAGCCTCTTTATGTTTTGTTTGAAACATGATCTCCTTAAATTGCTAAGTTTCCCAGGCTGGATTCAAACTTGTGATCCTCCTGTCTCAACCTCCCAGAGTTCTGGGATTACAAGCATGAACCACCACACCCAGAAAGCCTTTTTTTTTTTTTTTTTTTTTTTTTTT